TTCTGTATATATTTTCTGTGTATATATATATATTCTGTGTTCTGTGTATATATATTCTGTATTCTGTGTATATATATTTATATATATTCTGTATATACATATTCTCTCTCCCATGCAGTTTATAATGTTAGTGCATCCCTTCCAAATAGTAGGAAATTTAGAATGGCTACGATGAGACTGAAGCTTTATATAAGACAGTCACACCACTTCTGACTGATCTAACATGAGTCTGGAAATGAGGAGATGATACACAGCACTGAAAATACAAAGGCTACCTACAGTATTACTCTTCTCTTAAAAAGAAGGAACTACATGGTGAGTTTCCAAATGTGTTCAGCAATATAAAATCAGATCATAAGACCACTTCAGAGAAGAGTTCATTAACCCCACATGAGATCACAGTTATTTTCTCCTTTGGGATGGCTGTTAAACAGCCTTGATTTTATAAGGACACTGCTATAGTGGCATTGGAGAAGGATGCAGAGTTTATGGCCAAGAAGCATCATTTCACAAGAATAAGCAAGCACATCACCAGGCTCAGCATTCCCACTCTGAAGGACTGGGAACAGCTGTTGCCTCAACGCTCTAGTATTTTTCTTTTGACTCAGAATCTGGCCCAGGGAAATTATAGGAGCTGTATAAACAAAAACAACTAAACTCAATTATATACACAAACCTCCTTTGTTGAAAACAATTCACAAGTCTTAATAGTAAGCTTTTGTTTTTCTGGTTTTTCTTTCCTATAGATGGCACCTAATGGTACTATATTAAGTAACTTTAGAAGGCCACTTCTGTCCTCAGCTAGACCTATGTTCATTAACATCAAACAATGCCAGGAGGTAATGCGGCTGCGTATGCTCAGCTTTGTGTCTGACACACTGCATAAGCTGAAGAGGCACAGTGAGATTTTCTTGAGACATTCTAGAACAGGTAATAGAAGCATAAAAGTGAGGGAAAATACATCTACCATCTATAAAAATAAAAACAGTCTGTATGTTTTCATGCAACTACACTTCACACAGTATTCTTTGCCAGTTGGCAAGGATTTGTGGGTTCTCTAGAGTGTACCCATCACTGGAACTGAAAGTGGGAAATGGAAAGTTGGCACTCTCCCAGAATTCAGTGTTGTAAAAATGAATTTCAGAGTTCAGTAAAAATTGAAGAATTGAAGAATTAAGTGTCTGTACTATCGCCACTGCCTCGTTTACTTACATCTATGCTACACCTGTAAATATTCCATTTATTTACAGAGCTGCTCATTCAAGTAATAAAGGAAACATGTTAAA